GTAGGAAGTGCAACGTCAACGTTCAACGAACAACATCTCAAGCTTCTTCCAACCTTACTGTCCTGCTGTGCACAACCGAGCATATTCTTTAGGAAACAACTTTTGAAGTACGCCTGCTAACTCTGCGTCCAAGAGGGCAATAATGCTCCTTGCCTTTGGTGAAAGGTTAAAAAGGAACAATTGAGCCGCGACCTCTTGGATGTAAAATTCAAGTGTCCTCAACCTTGCCCAGCGCCCCTTCCACTGTATCAAGGCCAAATTGGCAGACTGAAGATACTCGTGCGTAGCTCCTGACCCCCGAAGGGTCCCGGGTGTGGCACCTCGGACACTCTGCTTTCGAGGGATCTCCAAGACATCTAAGAGACAATTCCATTGTCTCCTGAAGACAGCCGTCGATGCGCCGAACAAAGGCGTGTCAAGAGGTTTGTCTCGAAACAAAGCTCCTGCCAAAAAGATCAACGATCGATCGTCCACTCTGACGTGTTGACGACGGGCGAAGCGAGCTGTCTTCGGGTTCTTTATGAAGATGTACAACGCTGACTGCTCCAACATCATAGCGTCTTCCGGGAAGACCAGGTCCCGCCTGGTTAACCGGAGGAACTCGTTCGGGTGAAGCATCCCACCAAAACCGAGCGCAACAACACCAGCAAACTGGCGCCACTGCCAGAGGAGAGCAAGACACAAGATGGCACGGATGACTGGTGCACTCAACACTGCCCGGCATTGACCGGGCTCCTCCATCTGCCATTTCAAGTCCACCTGCCACGCACCAGACAACATACGCCTGTATTCGGGTTTGATTTGTTGTATGGCGGTGATGGTGTATACAAGCGTGTATCTTGGCTTACCTTCTCTGAACAATGCAAGTCCATAGGCCCTGAGCCCAAGATTGCACAACTCGGCGGATTGCAAGATGTATTCTAGGTTTAGGTGTGCGTTTTCAACCAGCCATGTATTGAACTGTATCAACGACTTCCGCATCCTTTGAGCAGTGGCTTGAGAGAGCCCTCCCATCATGTCCAACTCACCGCGTGGAGTGTACTCGGGAACACGACCGTTGCTCGATTGCGGTGGACCAGGGTGACGTTCAACGTCACCTGCGATCAACAACAATAACCGAAACCACCTCCCAATAGGGCGATGCCAAGGGGCTGCTGTCACCATGGTGTCAAAGGGCTTGAGATTCCCCTTTCGGAGTTCTCGCAACCAGGAAGGCTCTTCCCGAGATGGGCCTGGGGCGTCTCTGCCCCGCGACGGACCGTCGGCTCGATTCCAACTTGACCTGCAATGAAGAGAGCCCGGATACAAGCCGCTTCCCAAGATATAACCTAAGGAAGAACGCAAGATCCTGGATAGAGCCTGTGAAGAGCTCCTCCCCTTAGCTGCAGCCCCCATAGTCACCCGACTGTCCAACAAACACACCAGCCGCTTGTTAATGTAGCACTTTGCACAATGCTTCAAAAAAGTCTTGTAAACACGACATTCAAGACAGTTGATGTGGCCACTTTGCTTAAACCTGTACCGAAACATTTCATGGTAACGGAGCGACTCACAAATGTCTTCGACCCACTCGGGGTCCTGATGCCAAGGCCGACTGGGCGCCGGCTCAGCGGATTCGGCTGTCTTCTCGACCGCGTTCAACGATCTGCCCCCCCAGCCTGTTGCCGCCGGTCGAATGAGCCTGGCGACTCCCCAAGGCCATCACCTTGCACAGCGGCATCGGGTAGCTAGCAGAAAACTGGCTAACAGGTTCCCCAGGCCGAGGTGACCGGCCGTAAACTTCAACAGCACTAGGCTGACACCGACGGTCGAAGACTGCGATCGCACTCCGAGTGAAAGTTCCTTGAACAGTGAAATGAGAACCCTTATGTTTGCAAGTACACTTGCCTTCCAACGGTAAATACCAGGACTTATTGCGTAACCATTTTGAAGGTTTCTGGAAACCAGAGCCGTGGGAACAAAAGCTGAAGCGCGTAACGACGCAACCCAACTCAATGAGAACTTTGAAAGCGTGTAGCCCGAACATAACTGAACCATTTGGTTGTTCGCAAGAGACATAGCCTCCAGCCATTAACGCTAAAGTCAGAATGAAGGCTGTGCGAACTGCCAACATCGTCTGCTCGAGAGTGACCGGGTCGCTTGGCTTGAAGCCCGCCGGGCACTCCTTACTCCTCAAACGAGGTCGACGAAGGGTGCCGAACGACCAGCACGGTGGCCCGGCGTGCCACTCTGAGATAGCACCGCTCCGCTGTAAGCTGACTTTGCTATGTTCAAAAAAGTCTCTTTGCTCCCTAAGTCTCCAAAGGCTGCACCCCGCGCATCCCGTTCCACGCCAGGGTGCACGTGAAGACCTTCAGCCGCATGGGCGCGGCTCCAATTTCCAAATCCTGAAAACAATTCGATGCAATCATAAATGACTGTTGCATCTCTCAATGTACCTGGCACCCCTAGCTTGCAATCATGCTCCTCGGGTGATGGACCTTCAACTTCCAGCCCAAAAAATTCCTCATGCTCCAGACCTAACTCGTGTAACAACTTGTTTGGACCCTGTTGCAAGCACGTGTAGTAGCCCCGTCGTTCTGTATGTCTCCAGAACTCTGCAACGGCCGCCTCCGGCAAATTTGCTCTGCAAATTCCTCCGCCATGAGGAGAGGCGTCCATCATGAACAGTGCGGGTGCCGTGGTAGCTTTGAGGTTTGTTTGCAA